AGTAGCCTTGAAACAATTGTCACTGGAGTTTATAAATACTTTCTAAAACAATAAGTGTAGTAGCCTTGAAACAATTGTCTCTGGAGTTTATAAATACCTTCTAAAACAATAAGTGTAGTAGCCTTGAAACAATTGTCTCTGGAGTTTATAAATACCTTCTAAAACAATAAGTGTAGTAGCCTTAAAACAATTGTCTCTGGAGTTTCGTAATTTATATTTAGAAGTAAAATTGTAGAAAGATTTTGCGTAAACAACTTGAAAAGTATTTAACACTATTTTGGGTAAAAGATTATTGTAATTAAATAAACGTTGTTTTGTGGAAATTTAGCTTTAGCGCTCGTGTATGTTTATCAAATATATACATTTGTTTGATGTTAAGCACAAAGCTACACTATGGGCTATCTGTGCTGTGCTCTCCACGAGGAATCGAAACCCGGTTTTTAATGTTATAAACCTTCAGACCTTTGGCTGAGCCATTGGGGGAGGGTTCATAATAGACACACACGTATCATACATTTTTGTTGTTGTCAAAGTTCAGTTTTAACGAGGCATTTTTTAAACAGTAGACATTCAAAACACCAGATGTTTTTCAGCAAGTGAAAACAAGTATCGTTTATTGCACAATCGACTGAGAGCAATGGGTGGTTTCTCGCTTAGAAATTTTCCCTCGTTTATCTTATTCTTCTTTTTTAATATTCTACCAAATAATGGAAAGCTTTCGATAAGTCACGGGACTGGTTAAAACACAAACTCTTTTTTATTTTCCATGAAAACTTTCAAATGGAGAGAGAAAAAAAAGTCACCTATTATCTCTTAAATGCAATTCGTTTTCGAAAACAAAGCGATTGCCTCAATGCTGTTAACCCGGCTCATATCAGGAAAAGCGTCTTAGCTACAAACATTCTATTACTTAGCCTTATCCCTACTCGCACCCACCATATGCCTGAATTGTCTAATGTGAGAATCATGCAGTTAAACAGGTTTCCAGGACAGTTCTCCGCAGACGTTTGATTCTTAAACGCACTCCAATGCAAATCACACACACGTCTCCCTAATCTGATTATTGAGGACGGGTTCCCAGAGTTCCTCTTCAGAGAGCAGACCTTTTAGGGGAATTAAAGTGCCAAGTGTAAGTGACTGCGAGAGGAAAGAGGCACCGTTAACAAAATCAAACCAGCGGATATTGCGCTCTCCACTGGAACGTCAGGCTAACTGCTGCGACTGGACACGGAGAACGCTAGTTTCACAGCTCGAGAGCAGTATAAACAATAACCTCTGGACATTCCAAGTTACGTCCATTTTCAGTGTCAAAAACAGGTTAAGATCTATCTATCTATTTTCAAAAATTACTGAAAAACAAGGCTAAAATATCCTGTATTAAAAGATAAGTTTGGTGTTTAGATATCGTGACTCACTTATAATTTTTTTGAGGGGGGGAGGGGGTAGACAAACCTTATTACCAATGAACACCACGACGGAAGAGCAGTTGAGAGATCTAAGGAAGTTATCAAAAGAAACCTTATTTAGTAGAAATGAAAATTTACAACGAAATCATTTTTATTTTTCAAACTTACCACATTTTATCTGAAGAAATACAGACTAAATGTCTTGGTACTGATTAATTACCTGTAGAGTGTTGATTTACATTCTCGAACTATTTATACCGCTTGTTAGTTAAAAGAATGTTTGAAGAAATTTCACGAATATGGAGAATTTTCGAGATAGATGAGGCAAACAAATGTTCGTTTAGTTCTACAAACTGGCGACAGATGTCACCTTTTGCTGTGGTTTTAAATAACACAAATGAAGGTCTACACGAACCACATGCTAATAAAATACCGGGTTTTGTATTCACATTTTGTGATCTTTTAACTAGTGCTAATTGCAAAAAAAATGCAAAGCTAGCTGTTGTGAACTTTGACTTTGAAAAACTTTTGATTCTATTGAACATCAGTGTTTGCAGAATGCTCTTTGTGCCTTTGGTTTCGATTGTTTATTATTCTATACATTAAAAACTCTATATACTTCAGCTGTTTTTATAATTATGTATGGCTCTGTTCTTAAGATTAAAATGAGCTTCCAGCGAGGAGTCCGTTAAGATGACCCTCTCGGTGGTTTACCCGTTACTTTAGCAATATAATCTTCACTCTGTTCTTATAACGAAATTTCTTTTTTTCTATTTTTTTTACAGTGATTATAAACAACTTTTAATTACAGCTTGCGCTAATGACGTTAGCCCTATTACTAGAACGCAAAACAACTGATTTTAGTTTCATATCAGATTCGAAGTTTTTATTATTTATAAACAAACGATCTATGAGCATGGGGAGTTTATTTGGCCAATCAGTTTTATAACACTACAGAAAAATTATATGTTTGTTGAACTTCGTACAAAACTATTCGAGGACTACCTGCACTGGTCGTCCCTAATTTAAACGGAAGGCAACTAGTCAACACCGTTCACCGCTAACTCTTTGGCTATTCTTTTCACCAAAGAAAAGTGAGATTGACCGTCACGTCATAACAATTCCAGGGCAAGCATGTTTGGTGGGACGGGAATTTGAACCCTCGACCCTCAGATTGCGATTCAAGCGCCCTAACCACCTGGCCATGACTTTTAGTTAGAAAGCTACTAGTATGAAATTAGGAAAGAATATTCTTGGCAAATTCTTCAATTTGATTAGAAAAGTGGATTACCTTAAATAAAAAAATTTCAAATCTTCTCGCCAAATGGGATTAAGTGCACCCTTGGTGGTAGAACTTCAGACAAGCTGTGGCTATAAATCTCTGACATCCTTGGTGGTAGAACATCAGACAGACTGTGGCTAATAATCTCTGACACCCTTGGTGGTAGAACTTCAGACAAGCTGTGGCTAGTAATCTCTGACACCCTTGGTGGTAGAACATTAGACAAGCTGTGGCTAGTAATCTCTGACACCCTTGGTGATAGAACATTAGACAAGCTGTGGCTAATAATCTCTGACACCCTTGGTGGTAGAACATCAGACAAGCTGTGGCTAGTAATCTCTGACACCCTTGGTGGTAGAACATTAGACAAGCTGTGGCTAGTAATCTCTGACACCCTTGGTGGTATAACATCAGAAAAGCTGTGGCTAGTAATCTCTGACATCCTTGGCGGTAGAACATCAGACAAGCTGTGGCTAGTAATCTCTGACACCCTTGGCGGTAGAACTTCAGACAAGCTGTGGTTAGTAATCTCTGACATCCTTGGCGGTAGAACATCAGACAAGCTGTGGCTAGTAATCTCTGACACCCTTGGTGGTAAAACATCAGACAAGATGTGGCTAATAATCTCTGACACCCTTGGCGGTAGAACATCAGACAAGCTGTGGCTAGTAATCTCTGACACCCTTGGTGGTAGAACATCAGACAAGCTGTGGCTAGTAATCTCTGACACCCTTGGTGGTAGAATGTCAGATAAGCTGTGGCTAGTAATCTCTGACACCCTTGGTGGTAGAACATCAGACAAGATGTGGCTAGTAATCGCTGACACCCTTGGTGGTAAAACATCAGACAAGATGTGGCTAATAATCTCTGACACCCTTGGTGGTAGAACATCAGACAAGCTGTGGCTAGTAATCTCTGACACCCTTGGTGGTAGAACATCAGACAAGATGTGGCTAGTAATCGCTGACATAAATAAAAGCTTTAGATCCTCCATCTGATCTTGTTAAGTATTTTCAAGATAAGATACAAAATACTGTGCTGAATTAGATACATTGGATTAACACAAGTTTTCGAGAGGTTTGTGTGTAACAGTTAATCCAAAAGCATTCGTTATTTCCTAATTCTGTACTTACCGATGCTGTTATACGTTATAGTTTTATAAATCATGAATCAACATTGTCCTTATAACTACACTGGATTTTGATATTTTACTTTTCTTTCTATTTCGAACGTGAAAAAAGTTCAACACTTTAAATATGTAAATATTTGTTTTACAGATCCTCTCCTAGATGTAAATAGTTGTTTTACAGATTTTTATCTAGACGTAAATAGTTGTTTTACAGATTTCCTTCTAGATGTAAATAGTTGTTTTACAAATACTCTCTTAGATCTAAATAGTTGTTTTACAGATTCCATTCTAGATGTAAATAGTTGTTTTTCAGATTCCCTTCTAGATGTAAATAGTTGTTTTACAGATTCCCTTCTAGATGTAAATAGTTGTTTTACAGATTCCCTTCTAGATGTAAATAGTTGTTTTACAAATTCTCTCCTAGATATAAATAGTTGTTTTACAGATTCCCTTCTAGATGTAACTAGTTGTTTTACAAATACTCTCATAGATCTAAATAGTTGTTTTACAGATTCCCTTCTAGACGTAAATAGTTGTTTTACAGATTTCCTTCTAGATGTAAATAGTTATTTTACAAATACTCTCCTAGATGTAAATAGTTGTTTTACAGATTCCCTTCTAGATGTAACTAGTTGTTTTACAAATAATCTCTTAGATCTAAATAGTTGTTTTACAGATTCCCTTCTAGACGTAAACAGTTGTTTTACAGATTCCCTTCTAGATGTAAATAGTTATTTTACAAATACTCTCTTAGATCTAAATAGTTGTTTTACAGATTCTCTCCTAGATGTAAAAATTTGTTTTACAGATTCTCTCCTAGATGTAAATATTTGTCTTACAGATTTCCTTCTAGATGTAACTAGTTGTTTTACAGATTCCCTTCAAGATGTAAATAGTTATTTTACAAATACTGTCCTAGATGTAAATAGTTGTTTTACAAATACTCTCTTAGATCTAAATAGTTGTTTTACAGATTCCCTTCTAGACGTAAATAGTTGTTTTACAGATTCCCTTCTAGATGTAAATAGTTATTTTACAAATACTCTCTTAGATCTAAATAGTTGTTTTACAATTTCCCATCTAGACGTAAATAGTTGTTTTACAATTTCCCTTCTAGACGTAAATAGTTGTTTTACAAATACTCTCTTAGATCTAAATAGTTGTTTACAGATTCTCTCCTAGATGTAAAAATTTGTTTTACAGATTCTCTCCTAGATGTAAATATTTGTCTTACAGATTCCGTTCTAGATCTAAATAGTTGTTTTACAGATTCCCTTCTAGATGTAACTAGTTGTTTTACAAATACTCTCCTAGATGTAAATAGTTGTTTTACAGATTCCCTTCTAGATGTAATAGTTGTTTTACAAATACTCTCTTAGATCTAAATAGTTGTTTTACTAGATTCTCTCCTAGATGTAAAAATTTGTTTTACAGATTCTCTCCTAGATGTAAATATTTGTCTTACAGATTCCGTTCTAGATCTAAATAGTTGTTTTACAGATTCCCTTCTAGATGTAACTAGTTGTTTTACAAATACTCTCATAGATCTAAATAGTTGTTTTACAGATTCCCTTCTAGATGTAACTAGTTGTTTTATAAATACTCTCTTAGATGTAAAAAGTTGTTTTACAGATTCTCTCCTAGATCTAACTAGTTGTTTTACAAATACTCTCTTAGATCTAAATAGTTGTTTTACATGTTCTCTCCTAGATGTAAATATTTGTTTTACAGATTTCCTTCTAGATGTAAATAGTTGTTTTACAGATTCTCTCCTAGATGTAAATAGTTGTTTTACAAATTCTCTCCCAGATGTAAATAGTTGTTTTACAGATTCCATTCTAGATGTAACTAGTTGTTTTACAGATTCCCTTCTAGATGTAATTAGTTGTTTTACAAATACTCTCTTAGATCTAAATAGTTGTTTTACAGATTCCCTTCTAGATGTAACTAGTTGTTTTACAAATACTCTCTTAGATCTAAATAGTTCTTTTATAGGTTCTCTCCTAGATGTAGATATTTGTTTCACAGATTATCTCCTAGATGTAAATAGTTGTTTTACAGATTCCCTTTTATATGCTGTAAAACAACTATTTAGATCTAAGAGAGTATTTGTAAAACAACTAGTTGATTCTCTCCTAGATGTAAATAGTTGTTTTGTTACATCTAGAAGGGAATCTGTAAAACAACTATTTACATCTAGAAGAGAATTTGTAAAACAACTATTTACATCTAGAAGGAAATATGTAAAACAAATATTTACATCTAGGAGAGAATTTGTAAAACAACTATTTACATCTAAGAGAGTATTTGTAAAACAACTACTTACATCTAGAAGGGAATCTGTTAGTTGTTTTACAGATTCTCTTCTAGATGTAACTAGTTGTTTTACAGATACTTTCTTAGATCTAAATAGTTGTTTTACAAATTCTTTCTTAGATGTAAATATTTGTTTTACAGATTCTCTCCTAGATGTAAATGTTTGTTTTACAGATTCTCTCCTAGATGTAAATATTTGTTTTACAGATTCCATTTTAGATGTAATTAGTTGTTTTTCAGATTCCCTTCTAGATGTAAATAGTTGTTTTACAGATTCTATTCTACATGTAAATAGTCGCTTTGCATATTTCCTTCTAGATGTAATGATTTACTTGAGAAATTGTTGATAATTTAAAAACAAGATACAGATATCCAGTAGAGTTTACATTGTGATGATCTCCAGTTTGGATGCAGATATTAGGTGGAAATTACTTCCGGATGTTCTAACTTCTTCAGTTTATATGTAAATATTCAGTGGATGTTACTCTATAATGTCTTACCTTCTTCAGTTTGTATTAAGATATTCAGTGGAGATTACTTCATGGTGCCCTACACTTTCCACTTTATATACAGATATATAGTCCTAGGAACTAGATAAAGAATGTATTGTAAACAATATAATAGGCCTAATACTATTGTCGTATGACAAGTATAGTTGATTAATGTCATGTTTCACCAACTTGGAAAAGGAGATCACACCATAACAAATGTTGTACATTGACTTTACTATCAAGTAAGATTGAGTGGTTCTGTTTTCTAGAACATAGATCGTGTGTGCTTAGTATATACAACTGACATATTTATGTCAAGTATTTAAGTTCCCTGAATTGTTCCTTTTTCGGCTTGGTAGTTAGAGCACAAGACTTACAACCTGCGGATCACGGGTTCGAATTACCATTGCCGATCATGCTCGTCCTGCCAGCCATGGAGGCTCTAAAATGTGATAAAAAAACACACACACACACAAAAACAGAAGACGAAGAGTTGGCGATCGGTGGGTGGTGTTGACTAGCTGCATTCCCTCTATTCTTTCATTCCTAGATTAGGGACAGCTACCTGTAGAGGATATGGGCGCCATTCTATGGTTGGTTTGCTGCTTGGTTCAACTAAGCCAAAAAGACACATTTGGAATCTCGAATTTAAACGTTTTTGGCACCGAATCAATGGAGATGTTATACTTAAGACAATATTAGTTTTGAGTGGAATGTTAAGTTAAAAGTTAAATGCTTAACGTCTTTAAAGTAGGGTGTGGTTTATGAAAGCTGTATTGATCAGAGAAAATCCCTTTAAAATTTAATAAGCAGGTGATGGTATATGAATCTGTCAACAAGATTTTACAACATGTTTGAAAACTTCGATTTTCTAAAAAGTGGTGTGAATGCACTCACTACAATTAATCATAAACTAGTTGTCTGGAGTAAAATCAATTACAATCTGACAAAAGAAACATCCTCTAGTGAACGCAACTCTGGAATGAAACTCACTTTTTATATGTTAAGTTGGAATAAACTTGATTAGATGAAATAGTACATGGTCGTTGAATTTTTTAGTAACATCATTCTTATTAGTTTGCGTCGGTGTGTACAAAATGTATGACTGCTATTGTAATAGGCTAGGTTTAGCCTAGTGGTTAGAATGCCCTATTGCAGATTGGATGTTCAAGGTTTGAGCCGCGATATGACGCTGAACACATTCTGTATTTTCAGATGTTTCAGCTGTGACAATCAATCCTGCTATTCGGTCAAAAGTAGGCGGTGGATACTCCATAAGGTCAGCAGTTCTAAATTTGGGAGGTTAAGCCTGTACCTGAAAGAATACCGTTTAGCTAATGGTGGTGGACTTTACATATTGTGTGTTAGATATGTTACATATGTTAGGATAAGGTCTTTAATTTCATACCACATCTGATCCCTTAAAAAGATACCATACATCGTTATACAAATCTGTTATAATTCAACATCGTTCGTGCTAAAAAAAAATTCTGAACAGCTAACATATTTAACCCTGTACCAGCGAGGGTGTTAAATATACACGACTGTTTCATTTATATTTAGTACGAGATTTATGGTTTAGATAGTTATAAAGCGCGAGTGTGCAATTTAGTATTTTTAGAAGCAATAATTTATCGCAGGTTTGCTTACATAATTGTTTACGAATCATTTGTTGTGTAGTTCAGTTGATGTGAATTGATGTCACTTTACTCGAACCTTTCAAGATTTTCTGGTTGCTTAAAGTGAGTATTGCTGCATCATAACGTCTCGTAGTTTGTAAAAAAGTTCTAGGTTTCAGACGGGCAATATATATATAAATGTATAGGCGACCAAGTCAGCGTATGTAATTAAGTTAGTGAAAATAAAAGTGAAAAAAGTGAAGTTAGACTGCGTGATTGTGAATTTAGCCATAAATACCGTATAGTGGCGATTTCTAAAGTGAAAATATCAAAGATTGTATTGTAATAACAGAGATAGAGGAGAATAACTGGTCTTGTCAAAGGGTGTTCTAAAGTAATTGAACCCGTCTATGTGGACTCTGACGAAAAGAAGACATTT